TTCCTACAGTTTTAGATACCTTTCAGAAATTTCCTTTTATATCCAATATAGGCTCATGCATAATAACGACTAATGTTTACTAATGATTCAAGTATAAACTCGGCCAGTGTTTGCCTATAGTCAGTCAGTTATGTGCCATGCATAATACACGCTTAGGAGATCATGTATCTTTCGATACATGACTGACAAGGCAGATTTTTTCTCCGTAATAGGTTGCTATTTCTTTCTGTAGTAGACCAGTTGCCATCCAAGGCTATAGAACCCGGTCTGTTCTACCATTTAATCACAGCTGGGGGAGAAGAAGAGGATTCATACCTTTCCAAGGTGGATGAGTGAATGTAATGTAATCGACTGGAATTCCGATATCCATTACTCCACGGTACCTTCTCCATTTTAAATACCAATGATTAAAATGCTAAAAAAAAAAAAAAAAACTTTCATTTGATAGCTTATCTCAATGTTTTCAATGCGATGGTTAATTTTGGTGCTTACTGGCTAAGGCTCTTACTCTGGGTTCCATGTTGCTTAGAAGTAATCGTAGATCTCATCGTTTTCTAATTTGCAGGCAGTTTCTTTATTTAATAAGAAGCTGTGTAACTGCGTTGAAACCACATTCAGCTATAGAGGAAATTGGAAAAGCAATGAAGAAAAATTTGATAGCTTCCCACAGTTTTAGATACCTTTCAGAAATTTCCTTTTATATCCAATATTGAATAATTTTTTTTTGAAAATTTAGGGAAAAATGCATAAATGCCCACCACCCACTGAATATGTTCACTGTCCCCCACAATGAAATAAAACTCAGTGGCCATGTTCATTATAACAGGTTTCAAGGGGGGGTTACTAGTGCCCATGTTGAGAAACACTATTCCTTTTGGAAGATCAAATGACAACAAATTTCGTAATAATCCAGCACTTTTCTCAGTGTTTTATTTATACTGTAATACTGTCATTTAAAATTTTTCTCGGATTTGTAAGTTTTCGAAACTTTTATGTGGCTTTTCGATAATGTTTCGAGGGCACAGATTTGATGGATATTAATTTTGTTGAGATAGAATGAAGTGTCATGCTGACACTTGAGTTTGAACATAGATTGCCAGTGAGCAAACACAGGCGATCCCATTATTGAATTAAGAGACCACATGACCATAGAGGAAATGTATATCGGAGGTAGCGTGTGTCTAATAGGTTGCTATTCATTCATCGTCTCTATACTATACAGATCTGTATTTCTATTCATCCTCTATTACTATTCGGTCGCTCTTCTATCCTTTTACTATACGTATCACCATTTCTAGTTATATTATTTTCTTCTCTATTCCCCAACTATTCCTCTATTTTTGGATCATTATATGACTATCATCTGAGCGAGTATTATCGATCAAGTGCTATTAATGCGAGACTTATTCAAAAGCGTTCGATACCAGTATTGTTCAACGGCGTACTATAGATGTATCTGCGATTACAAAGTCTCTAATATAAAGAGCATTACAATAGTGACAAGTATTTATCGACATCAGAAAAATTTCATATTTCTCAATTTCTTCTGTCTTTTTTTCTCAGATCTCGGGTAAATTTAAAATATTTTTTTAGCTTTTAGTTTTATTTTGTTAGGCTCTGCTAAAACAAGAACACCCATTATATAACAGCTCTTCTTCTTTGCATAAACTACTTTAAACTCTAGCAAGGCTGAGAAGTGTGTATTGGGCAGTTTCGGCCTAATCCTCACTTTCCAGCCTAGATACAGTTCAAAGCAGTTTACGCGAACTTGTGGGAAATGACATAGTTTTCCACTCTGCAACCTCTTTCCCCAGAGACGCAACGTCGCAGACTTGCCGCTATTCTATCGCTATTTTGATATCTAATTTCGGGGGAAATTATATTGAAAAACACCGGTTCCGTATGATCAGAAGCGAAGTTAGCAACGTCGAGCCCTATTGCATTAGATGGATGACAGCTTGGGAATGCTAAGTGTTTTAAGTTTTGAATGAATGAGGGTGTAATGTATAATAGCTCAGAATTGTTAATCGGAGAGCCGAGTTCCAATTCTATTTCCAATTACATGCAAATACCCTTGGGAAAGATATGAATCCCCCTCTTTCCCCCAGCTATGGGTTAATTAGCAAAACTTGTATCACTAAAACTTTATTATCTAAAAAAAAGACTATTACAATCTAAAAATATTTCCTGACATTAAATAACATTCAAAGGGTTGATAAGCCGTAGAAAATGAATCAATGAATCATAATTTTTGGACGATTCCATACTTTCGTTCCATCATTCCAGACAACAGCCTATTGCAGACATTTATATCTAACAGCCGCTATGCTACGTCCACGAAACAGACACCCGCGTGGATACTTCCTTGAACGCTACAATCTTAACTTCTTCAAGTGTCAATCGTTACCTATTTTCCATATACTCATAATATTCACTTCCTATTTCTTACTCTTAAATTCATATCACACACCTTATTCAGTAACACTCTACTTTGAGTGGCTCTTGAGTTTTGTATTGGGTGAACATTAGTAAATAAAAATTAATGATTATAAGATTGTTGTTACTATTGTGTTGGCTGTTACTAAACGTTAAAAAATATATAAGTAAAATAATATGCAAAAAAGAAAGAGCAAGTCGTCTAACAATTCTATCTATATTCACAAGCAGCCATTTTCATAGCTAGACTTTAATTCTTTTTTCTTTGATATTAAGCATTTGTGAAATACAAAAAAAAATGATTGGAAAAATATGAATAAAAATGTGTACTATTTTAGGGTTCATTTAATTTGGCAATGTTTACACTTCCTTCTCGCAAAAAATGGGGTGACAAAAGAACGGTTATTCCCTTGACACCGCTATTGCAGCATACACTTGTAAGTCCCTCAGCAATGTTTATTTACAAGCTTCTAAAAATATGTGAACCAAGTACAATGTCATATTTATTATTTACATTTTATAAATATTTATTATTTACTATTTATAAAGAAATAAATTTGAAAAGAAATCTTTTTATTAAAAAATTATCAAAATATGTAAACCAGCTAGAATGCAATATTTATTATTTACCATTTTATAAATATCTGTGAAAACAAGTTTTTTATTCATAACTTTATAAAAATATCAATAAACTATAAAACAAGAAATTTGAATAAACGTTTATCTATTTCCCTTTTTAAAACAATAAACATTGCCGAGAGAGTCAAAAGTGTTTACAGTAATAGCGGTGTCAAAGGAAGAACATACGCCATTTTTAGCAGACACCAAGGATAAAAACTGCCTTTAATTTTAATAATGATGTTTTTTCTGTTTTTTTATGTCTTGTGTTTTTAAAGGGGTTAATATTTTCGTCATTGATTAAGTAGGCACGCTTTGGAAATATTTGAAGTCAATGACCATCGTGAATGCCCGTCTCAAACATCTTATAAAATAACTCGTATATATAAGATGAAATGGTTATATGTGTAAGAGCAATGTTTAGCGGCTCGGAACGAGAATCGACGAAGTGAGTTCGAATTCTGGTCGAGTTCGATATATTCACTTTCGTACAAATATGAATACACCACTACTTGCTCCGCCCAGCCATAGCAAAGCAGATTCGGTTTTCTAGCTGCAGTTGACAACCAGTCTTGGAGAATTCAAAACTGTATGTAGCTCCGGAAAAGATTATGGGGGATTGTGAACTCTATGATCTCGACTGAGGTCGATGATGCATAAAAAATTCACCGTGAACGATTTTCATATGTCCCTGTTTTAGTATTGCTTTCAAAACAGAATTCCAGCTTATGTAGAATAATAATAATATTAATAATAATAATAATAATAATAATTCAATCTTCTGTTCCGTACTTTTATCAAGTTATGTTAAGATATAATGAGATCGAAATATATATATATATATATATATATATATATATATATATATATATATATATATATATATATAATGGACTCGCCAGTCGTCTTCCGACGAATGAGGGTCCAGTAGAATCGAACAACGAAACTAACCAAATAATTACTTGATTATAATAGTGAAGGATTGAGCGTAACCAACTACCCTTTTCCGAAGAACAAAATACAGAAAGCGCCGTCTACCCTGCTATTCACCCATAACTGGGGGAAGGGGGATAACGGAATGGATTTACATTTCCTTAATGATATTTTGCGTATATATATATATATATATATATATATATATATATATATATGATATAATAATGTATATATATATATATATATATATATATATATATATATATATATATATATATATATATATATATATATGATATAATAATAATGTGTGTAATACGCACGCGCTATAGTTTGAAACAAATTAAAAAGCCCTTTCGGTCGTTTATCAATAGAGGCGAGGGAAGTGCATTACTGTTCTCAGTGCATCCGTTCGACTGGTTCATGGGATGGGTGAAATTTCTGGGAAAGGACCATGGTAGGGAGGGGATTCACGTGAGTGCGCATCGGAACGGATCGACAAAGGCGAGAGAATAAGGACATGGAGATTGAAACAAAAAAAAGCTAAAACCAAAACGATATAACAAAGAAAAAAAAATAAGCGTATAGAAAAAAGAGACAGATATGGTAGAATTTAAATATATATATATATATATATATATATATATATATATATATATATATATATATATATATATATATATGTGTTCTACCATATTGCGGAAATATTACATATATATATATATATATATATAATATATAATATATTTCAAACGGTGGTTGGTGCATCTTTCCATATATCCATCGGCAGACGCCATCAACGCTTGTTTCTAATCACAGGCAGGCGTTAATTTATGGGGCGGGCCATTATATATGTTTGTTCTCCATCAAATGTGGTAATGATTTAACTAACTCTTTCAGCTGAATGCACGCATCCATGGCTTGATTGAGGGAAGCATCATCATCATTATAATTATTATTATCATTATTATTGTTACTGATGCGTATTTTTTATTTAAATCCCCGAACGCATGTTACCCTTTATAGCTTTTCACTTTCTCTCACTCTCTACCTCCCCCTCTCTCTCTCGCTGTCTTTTTTATTACCATCTCTTTCTCTTTCTTTATACTTCTCTCTCTACTAATGTCAAGCTCCTCCTACTCTTCCTCTACTTGTTCGAGAGTGTACAGGACAAACTCCCTCTTTATTTTAATCAATCATCGTCATTTTGTTTTTCTCACTTAAGCGTTATTCCCACAATCATACCCACTATTTCTCCTTTTCCTTTAATCCTCTCTCTCTATCTAATTCTATCTCATCTATTCATATCTATCTATCTATCAATTTATTATCTATCTATTTATCTCTTGATTCTCATCTCCTTTTTCTCCTTTTTTCTATTTGCATCCTTTACTTCCTTGATTGCTCATACCTTTCTTCTTTCTCTCTCTCTCTCTCTCTCTCTGATTAAGCCGGATTCTCCTTCCTTTTCTATGCAAATTTGTCCCTTCAAACAATCTTTGTCTCCCTGCCACTTTTTTTTCGTTCATCCATCTATCTTTTTTCTTTCTTTTCTTTTCTTTTTTTTCTTTATATTCACCGTTGTTCTTTTAGATCTCCCTTTTTGTTTTGACAGTTCTAGATTCATTAGTTTGTTCAATATCTTCTCTCATAAAATAGTTTTCTACATTCTCTTCTTTTAAAGCCGCCACCCTCTCTCATTCTTTCTATCTTCTTTTTATTACACGCTATACATTATGGAAGCACAGTGGAGTAATGGATAATGACTCGTATTGAGGAATCAGAAAGCCGAGTTCGAATTCCAGTCGAATTCTTCACGTTTACTTACGTGCTAATATCCTAAAAGGTATGAATCTATCTTAACTTTGAAAAAACAGCCTTAGTTGGTAACCAGTCTAGGGGGAGGAAAACCTAGAATTCAAGCCAGCCTGGTGAGAGTTGGGCTCTGTCTTGCCCATGATACACATCCCTACTGTTATGGTTGCAGTAGATGTGGTGCTTCTACGACCCTAAGGGGTTACGGGATTTGTGTCGTGTGTACATTTATCTTTACTAGAAATACACGTGAAAAGTTCAAGTTCTTGCTATTTGAATTTTCTGATGAAACCTAATCCTTAAATTGATAATTGAACAAGCCCATTGCGAGTTCTACGACTATGAAATACTCGTGTAAAACTCGTTAAAAATTTTAGCTTAGCAAAAATATTGCAATAACAATACATGTCATTATTTAAGTAGGCGGGTACAAATGAAAAGGTTCAAAATTGACACGTTTTTCCATTTCACTGAAGCAGATGTTAAACATATGAGAGCTATATCGCCTCCTCTTTCTTTCTTTTTCTCACGGAAGCCAAACAGCGTCTCTGATATGTCTTTTCCGTCTTTCCTTGCGATCAAAACGTAATAGTCCATTATTTATGAGCTATTGGTAGGGTATAATGTACGTATTAACTAAGTAAAGAAAGAAGGAAGAAGCAAAAATATATGAAGACTTTTCTATCCATTTTTCTACTTAAATCGTTATTATCAATTCCTCTGTTATTTTCTTTCTTTCTTTCTTCCGATCAAGTTTCTCTTTTCTGTCTAGCGTCTCATCTTGTCTATATATTTTCTAAGGTTAACGTATTATAGCACAAAACCAAATCGTAGGAAGTAAGATTTAAACTGAGGAAGGCATGTCTGCAATGAAAATCGAAATATTCTCTCTCTCTCTCTCTCTCTCCCTCTCTCAAGTTCTTGCGTACATTTCAGTTTAAATACTTCCACTGACTTATTTAATCACAAGACAGTTGACAGACTCTGACAGACGCTATAAACAAACATCACTCTTTGTGAAGCTCTCGTCTCCTCGTCGACCTCAGTCGGATATTTGTTGGACATCTGCGTTTCTAGTCATGTGTTTTCTCAGTTTGCGCATGGGAACCAGTCGAGGACTCCACAGAATATCATCTCGAAAATGAGTCTTTCGCACCTTCCATTATAGAATGTGCTAAGGACTCATTTTCGAGATGTTTAGCATGCTACTCTCTCAAACTATTTCCAGTGAGTTCAATCTTCAATGGGAGCGATATTTCTTTTGGGCATTGCCTCAAATTAAGGAAGAGGACTCTGCCATGAGCATATGGTTTGTTAGTGTGGAAAGATCAATCTTCAATGGGAGCCTAACTAATGTGGCCCTATGCCAAGCATATCCAGTCCCATACATCTACATTTAAGCGATGAATAGTACACTCATTTTGCAAAATATTGACAATTAGTAGAACCTTTAAAGCCGTTTCTCTGTAAGCAGAAGGAGTGTTTATTAAACCTGACTGTTATCAACCTTTGATGGTTTTACATATATTTATATCAATCCTGTATATATATATATATATATATATATATATATATATATATATATATATATATAAAGAGAGAGAGAGATAGACAGCGAGGGGAATTTAAAACAAATATAAAAATTGTCACTTAGCTGATTGATGTTATTTTCAGCATCTCGACTCGAAAGTTTCGTAGACGATCTCTCCAGCAATCGTTCCGATCACTCGTCAAGAAATATCAGCAACTGGTTGTGTATTTTCTTAGTCGATGTCAAACCAAACGAATTCTCCAATGTTTAATTTTATCTATTAGACCTCTTCCTCACCACTTGTGTTCCTCAGTTGTGTCTCATCCTATCGGGTCTGTGTCAAGATCGATGTCAAACCAAAGGAATCCTTTGGTGTTCCATTTCATCAGACATTTTTAGATACTCCAAATCTGATTAGAAGAGCTTTTGCTAAAGCTCCTTTCTTAAAAAATAGAGCATCCAGAATAACCTCCCTTATTTCTCAATAGGTCCTTTCCGGTATTGAGAATTTTAACACTTTCAAGAGGTGTCAACAAAGGCCAAACACTCATCCGAATGTACTGCAGCCATCGTTAAATGTAACCACTACTTCAAATTTTATCATCGAAAACAGTGTAACGGGACTTATGCCGCTTTCAGAGAAGCCCACAATCATTGTAAAAGAGTTCTGGACAATGCTAAACTCAGATATGCTCAGTCAGTCCAAGCCAGAATTGATAATGAAAGACTTGATTCCTATGAGTTCTGGAGAATCACTAACAAGATTCTTAACAGATGCAAATAATATGTCCTTATTGTTATTAATGTTCCCGGGGTTATTTCAACCTCATCAGACAAGGCTACGGTTTTGCAATGAACTTTGTCCACACTAGACGACTAAGGCACTACTTGACATTCCTCTTCTCACAGATTACAAACTTTGTGACCTCACTATCTCGACTCAAATAATTTACAGTCTCATCAAAAAACCTGATTCTACGAAGGCCACTGATCCAGACAAAATCCCTGTTATTCTATCTAAGAACCTTATCCCAGAATTGTCCCCAATCCTGATAAAATTGTTTAAACGTTGCCTGAAAGAAACATTTTTCCCAAGCCTATGGAAGTTGTCAGCTGTTTGATCTGTTTTTAAGAATGTTGATGGGTGTTCATCTTCATCACAGTATCGCTCCATCAGCCTTCTTAGTGTCATTAGCAAACTCCTCAAGTTTGTTATTAACAAGAGTTAATCACTTCACATGAAATAACCTCCTTGGTAGCAAATAGTATGGATTTCACTCCTTTCGGTTATCTGGAGTTATTTAACTATCAGAATCAATGAATCACTCGATGATTGCGTTGTTATCAGCACGAGCACCATTGAATTCTCAAATGCTTTTTTACAAGTAGTGGCATGGTGGTGTGCTATAAACTCCCTGCCTATGGCATCTTTGAAAAAGTTTAAGCAATCAAGTCTTTTCTTTCATGAAGGTTGCTGGCCAGGATTTCGAGTCGCATAAGTTTATGATTTTATGAATTTAAGTGCACTAATAGATTGGCGGCAAGGTCTCATCATTATATTGTTAAAAATGGCTAGATGTAACCCTAAGTTCTATGCTGATAGGTTCTTCTATCATACTCATCGTTTATGTAACTCTCTTCCGGCTTCTTACTTCTCAGTCATGTTTGCTCTTCAAAAATTTAAATGCAATGTCAATCGTTATTTTCTGTCTTCTTAATTTTTTCCTCATATTCTCTAACACTCAATAGCCCCTCGCATCTCAATGGCTTTATTGCCTTGCTTGAAGTAAAACGATTAATGCAGGCGTCCGCAAGGTTCTCTCTTCGGTCCTACTCTCTTTCTACTCTTGATTAACGATTTATCTAGGAACATTCCCAGATCACTGGTAAACCCTATGCAGATGATACCACTGTCTATGGACGTTTTTTCAAAAACGAAAATGATCCGTACATTGTGGACAATCTCTCCTCCGACCTGGCTGTAACGATGCTAGGACACGCCACGCTACTTTCACAGAGTCGATTCACCATTATTTCTTCTGTATTCAAAATGTAAGAAAAGTTCTACTCTCTTTCCCAAGAACTGCTAGTTTACGAGACAGACTCCTACATCGTTCTCTGAACACTTTAATTTTGACTTCTTTAAGTCAAGGGTCAATTGTCATCTATCCTCCGTATACACATACTCCCAAATTTCCTCTTTCACTCATATCACACACCGCACTCATCATTACAATTTCAACTTTAACTCTTTACTTTGAGTGGCTCTTGAGCCTTATATTTGGTCATATTCATTGAAAAAAAAAACTTTAAAAAAATCAGAAAATAAAATCTTTTTCTACCAATAAAATAATCATTCCAGGGACTTCTAAAACATTATGAATAATGAACACTGGATTTTGTTAGTTGATATTTGAACATCAATATCACTTTATTTATCACGCATACAACAGAACATTTTATGCTTAAACGTTTGTTCCTTGATGAACTTTAAAATATATATCCATAAAGTTTACCAACAACTTTGTTTTCTATTTTCTAAACACATACTCGCAATAAAATGCACATATACACGCACTTAAATATACAAATTATTGTACATTTATTACACCTGTGAATTAATATGTTTGCAGTTGGTATTGTGCCATGATTAAATAAAATTTAATTCAATGCATTTTTTTCAAATTTGGAGGTCCTTAGCGTCTTGATGAAATCTTCAAATATTTAATCATAACGATATTTTTTTTGTGGATGTTTTTGTACTTTTTCTTTTTAAATATAGGCTTGAGTATTTCATTAAATACGTATTCAGATGGTATTGTATTTCTTTTTAAAAAATTAAATGAACATTTTTATATGTTCAGTAAAGCGTGAACTGCATTTTCAAGCAGATCTTCAATTTTCAGCCTCTTTAATTCTTTCATCAACTTTTCCCTTTCTTCTTTTTTATCATCTCCAACTACCTTTTTATTCTTTTCTCTTTTTTTTTAATCTCCAATTGCCATTTTCTTCCTATACTTTTTCCCTTTCATCGTCCTCTCCTATTATTTTTTCTTCGTCTTCTTTTCACATTTTCTTCTTCCTCTCTACTTTCTCTCTGTTTTATCATTATTTTCCTTTTTCTTCTTTCTTAACTGTTATCTTGATATTTTATTTCTAACCCCTTCGCTTTTTACCTTCTTTTGATTATTTTTTTGATTTTCTACTTTTTTCACTTCTGTACTTTTCATAATAGTAGTAGTAGTAGTAGTAGCAGTAGTAGTAGTATCCGACAATGAGCAAGTAAAGCTCATGTGGAATACAGCCATCTTGACTGACAAGCGTATGGAGAGCATT